TTGTTGTGTACTGTCGCTGAGTATTTTGACTTATTGTTTGTATTTTGTCTTGCCTTACGGGCTTGTCAAAATACGGCACAACTCATAAAAACACTCAGCGATACTACACAACAAAGCGTCTAATAAGATATATTTATTATCCAACTGTGCTTTGTAGAGTACAAATAACGTGTGAGGCAACTACAAATATCACGTGATATTAATTTTTGGTACTCGAGAAATATTGTAAGAAATAGACAACTTTTTTGAGAGACATGTTTTGGCATGCTTATGCCATCTTCAATCAATGAGTAACAGAACATGAGTAATTCTATAACAAATGAATAAAGGCTGATAGTTTCGAAAGAAACTGTTTGGGGCTGCGTCGGTGGGAGTAACGAAATAATTTGGATATATCAACAAAGTTGAAATGGTAAATTGGCCACCGTAATGATTACAAAAGCTGACGTTTCGAGCGTTAGCCTGCTTTAGTGAGGCTAGCATATTTTAGGTGGCAAGTAAAAAAAAAAATGAAAGAATATTATTAATGGCCAGCTCATGGAGAAAGTAATCTAGAGTTCTCAAACCCATCAATTATTCATAAGGTGATCATTGGACTGAGACACACCAACTTTGTCATATGCATGTGGTTTGAAACACCAGTAAAACACTGGAATGATGCGCTATCCATGAGTTTCATATAATATCAAACCCTTGAGTTTCATAAAGCATCAAACTCTAGTGAACTCATTTCTCAATTTGAATAACAACAACAAACTTGCCAACAACATGTGAAAAATTCGTGAATATTTTCATTTCCGTTTATTCTTGAGATCGGACTGAGAAGCTATTTTAAATCTCCTGCATCAAGTTTCATCAGGGTTTCCAAACACTCAAACACTATAAAAGCTCTTAGCTTGCAGCCTTGTGCTTGGAAACCCTGATGAAACCCTTGCCCTAACTAATTTTTGAAATAATACATGAAACATGAACTCAAAATCTCTTTTTTCTCGAAATGTGTAATTATTAGATAAGACAACACCAAATGTTTTTATCAAAATGTGCGTTGCAAAGATAAAAGTAGACTGAAAGTATTAACTCCCAAAAGATTAGGTCTAGAAAAAAGTGTTACTGATCACAGTGTTAGGTTTGTGCCTAAAGTGGATATAAATACATTCTGAGTTGAGTGGTTCACAGCCACTTCGAGTAATCCGTAGTTATTTGGTTATGAGATGCACCGCAAACTTGGCAACGTAGTCAAGTCTAGTTCCCAAATGTAAAGTTTTGTTAAAATACTCGGTTATAAGATGCACCAAAAGGTTCAGAGTTCACAAAAGGTGTGATGGATCTGGAAAAGTTTCATGGTTGCTCTGGTGGTGAAAGCAAATGACAAAAAACTCCCAGTTCGACAGCTGAATATCAACATGCCGCAGAAGATGCAAGTGTCAGTGCACAAAAAAGGCTGGATGGATAAAAAAGTTAAGTTTTATCTCCACATTGTTCATTCAGAGAGGGAACTATTTGAGCGAACAACACAAACATGATTCTAGGAATTTGAAACGTGGTTCGAACAATTGTTTTGTTGTCATGGATATCATATTACTGAGCACGTGCTATTAAGAATGTATGTGAATTTCTGTTTGTTTGCTTTTGTTGTTGATCTTTTTAAGTTGATCAGTGTTCTAAAAGCAGTATTCCTTATTAATTCATAGGAATAAAGGATTGGATTACATGCAGTCTTCGCTACATCTCAGACCAAAAAGCCCTGCTCGTGTGCATGGTGATTTGGTGGAGGCCATATAAGAAACGGTTAATTCTTTCAGAACCACCACAACAGCTCTTTTCAGAGCCACCCTAGTTATTTTTAGAACCACCAGATCTAAAAAAGTTAATGAAAAACAATTAGTGTTCTTTTCATGTCTTTCTAACTGTAAGTTCTGCTAAAATTGTGATCTGAAGATACCCCAATTTCAACACTAATTTTCCACCCGAAGACAGAATTTTCTTGAAAAAATCATGTGCCTTATAACCGATAACTATGGTAACCTAGTTGACAAAACTTGAGGTAAAATAAGATCAAGGAGGCTGATGCTGTAAAGTCACTCAAAACATTATACAGAAATAATATCAGTTTAACAGAAATTCTTTGTAACTTGTGGCGAAATGAAAGATTAAAACTCAGATTTCTGTACAACTTGAAATATTGGGCATGTATCAACATTAAGGGTTGGCTGCGCAGAATAAACACAGTGATAAGTACGTATATGAGCACGATCCTTCGCAGTAAAGCACTATTGGAGCAATAGTGAAAATCAGACCTGAAAAAAATTTCAGGCCTGTACGGGATTCGAACCACTGACCTCTGCAATACTAGTGCAGCGCTCTACCAATTGAGCTAACAAGCCAACTGGGAGCAGGCCATCAAATTAATTCGATATAAACCCGTAGATGATAAATCAAACAACAACAAACATATGAAACATATGTGTGAACTGCGGTTATGAGACGTATATGAGCACGATCCTTCGCAGTAAAGCACTATTTGAGCAATAGTGAAAATCAGACCTGAAAAAAATTTCAGGCCTGTACGGGATTCGAACCACTGACCTCTGCGATACTAGTGCAGCGCTCTACCAATTGAGCTAACAAGCCAACTGGGAGCAGGCCATCAAATTAATTCGATATAAACCCGTAGATGATAAATCAAACAACAACAAACATATGAAACATATGTGTGAACTGCGGTTATGAGACGTATATGAGCACGATCCTTCGCAGTAAAGCACTATTTGAGCAATAGTGAAAATCAGACCTGAAAAAAATTTCAGGCCTGTACGGGATTCGAACCACTGACCTCTGCGATACTAGTGCAGCGCTCTACCAATTGAGCTAACAAGCCAACTGGGAGCAGGCCATCAAATTAATTCGA